CTTATTGATTTAACATTTTAAAGCCCCCACCCCCTTTTGCTTTAGACACTTATTTATATCTCCCCGTCTTCAGGCGGCTCCACTCGCCGTTTCGGTGGCTGCATGTTGCTGTGTGTGTTTTTTTGCAGGGAGCAGAGTGATAAAGCTCGAAGCACTTATATTCAGGGCATAATTAAGACTTGTCATGTGCCGACATAAGTGACATCACTCGCTACACTTTATGACAGTGTCAGCCCTAATTTGGTTTCATGGCGAAATCAGGGGTGAAACCCTCTGAAAATAGAACTCCAGTATTAATATGCAAGCACGGAGGAATGCTACTTTATGTTTGATACGCTCATTGTTTAATATTAATATTAGTCATAGTTTTAGCATTTTAATTGGTATCTGCTCCATAGAAAAAATCACATTTAACACATTTAAGTCTTTGCACATTTTAAGCAGTAAGTAGTAACAAATGTATAAAGTGTTGCTCCTTTCCTGTTCCTTCCTTCCTACAAGAACAGTCCTCATTGCCTCTTTGCACCATCTGCAGATGTTTCCTCGCTTACGAGCGTGCTGGCAGTTGTTTCTCTGTTTCTTTTACACGATACAAGCAGAACAAAATAGATAGCAGAAGTGAAACAGATGCTGCAGCTGAGGCCGGTGAGCTTTAGGCTGATGCAGATCTGTCAAATCAAGAAAGACTATATTTAGAGTGTGCAGCCCTGCTAGCAGCTATGTGGTGCTTTGCAGATCAGCACAGTGGTGCCTTACTGCTAACACCAGCATGCTAACCTGCTGATGTTCACTGTTTATGTCAGTGCATGAGCGTTAAACACAAAGTCCAGCTGTGGCTTGATGTTTTGAAGGTGAACTGATGATGAAACTGGCTTAAAGGGGGCGCTAGATGATTCCTATGGGAATAAAGAACATCTGTACAGATTAGCTGTATTTACTGTAATAGATCTAAATACTGTTTCTAAATAAATTTTAAAAAAAAGCAAAACGCAAGTAGTTCAAACAGCAACATCCCAGCAGCTGTGCCTAAAACAGACACGTTAACGACCAGGTCAAAACTGGTTGCTGTATATTAGTTTTGACAGATGCTGACCTTGTTTTCATTTACAAAAGAGGTTCAGCAGCAAATATCTGTCAGATCACTGCAATGAAGAAATCTTTATGTCTTTACTAAATGGGTGTAAATAGATGGCTACACAACGTGGACCTTGTTTGGTAGATTACAAACATGTCTGGGATGTTTTTTGCTGAAAAACATCAGCAGCTCATGCACGACTCCGACTGTACCTATTTATTGCATCATGACAGCTGTAACGTTTCAAGCACACCTGCACTTGATCAGACGAACTTTCTTGTGTGCACTGTCACAAACATCGCCCCCAGTGCCCCGATGTCAGCATTATAAACTCATGGTGTGGCTGAATTACTGTCAGGATCAGTTAGCTCAGCAAGTAAAAGACTCGGGAGAGAGGCTGACAGTTTAAGTTGCTCGTGTGGGGTTTTGTTCTCGACTTTCTTAATCTAAAGTCCAACATGGACATCGAGGCAAAGTTCAAGGAGCAGACAGCGAGGCTTCCCGCCCAAACTTGACAGATCTTCTGTGTTTGAACTACTGCATGTTTTAGAGCTAATGTGACTGCTGGACGACCTCAGTGGGTTTTGTAATACTATTTTGGCAGCTACATGGAGCTGAGTTTTGCAGAGGGAGAGAAATGTTGGGTGGATAACTGTAGATATTACCTGAAAAACATTTTTAGATTGAACCACCACTGGCAGTTTCTCTGTCTTGTCTGAAAAACAGAATCAGAGATATTGTAGGCTCGACATTATAGTTGGTTGTTCTGGTAAAGGGGAATTTGTGTTGTTGGGTTTTTGTTTGTTTGTTTGTTTGTTTGTTTGTTTGTTTGTTTGTTTTATTTTATTGCCTAGAATAAAACAGAGCAGACAAAGCATTCTCAGTCGAGCTTCAAGGATCCCGATCGCTTTCTCAGCCGACTGGTCTTTGGGGAAGACAGCTGATGAGAAGTGTTGTTTAATTAATTTATTTTTTAAACAGGCTTTGGTAATTCTATTCTATGCATGTGGAGTAGAAACCCATTTTGTAACCAATTTAGTTTTCAATCAGATGTTGCTTTAAAAAATTTAACCTGGCATTTTGTTTCTTTATTGGAATACTAGAGTAACTGGGCGATAACAACAATGTGTACAGTTCAAAATTTAAAAGCAAATAGTAAGAAGAGAGCTGCCCAAAAAATGAGTATTAAAGTATTGAAATCTTTAGGTACACTCAAAGCAGTTTGTGGCACAACCTCTTCCTCTTCTTTATGAGAGAGAGGATAGCTAGCGTTGCATTATTAGCTTTTGATTTTGCCTTTGTGTCCTCAGCCCAACTTGAAACTGAATATTTTTTGTGTCATGCTGAACAATTTTAGGCCACTTCATTCTGTTTTTGTCCTCACTGTGAGCAGATCACCTTAAATTACCAACACTGAGAGGCATTAATAAATTGGTGGCTGTGGCTCAGGTGGCAGAGCACTTGTTGTTTGATTGCAGGTTGAGTGATTTAATTCCTGGCCTTGGACTCAATAGATGGCTTTTAGGCCGTTCACTTCTGTAATCAATATCGAGCTACGGTTAATTGAAAAGCAAACTGTAGTCTCTTCTGTCAGAGAATGCAGCTTTTAGCAACTCAGATTTTCTCTGGTTTTGTTGTAAACTTTCGTGTTTGCTTATTGAAGCAAAAGGTTGAACACTTCAGTTTTTTTTTCTGTCATTTTGTGAACTAAATGATCATTTATTAAGAAAGCAAGAGAAAAAAAATGACAGGTTAATGAAAAAAATATTTGCAGCTCCTGTAATATGAAAAGTGAAATGCGTGTGTGTGTCACGGGCTGCGATGGCAAAGACCGTGGAGTTGCAGTGAAAGTAGGGCCCAAATGCGAGACTCTTAGTGAAGGACAGGGGGTGGAAACCACACAACTATATACAAAATCCCAGCACTGTGGTCCCGTGGCGATTCTCCCTGAATCCCACACAGTGCAGATGTTCGTGAAAGGTGAAACAGTGGCGACTCCAAAAACTCCCACACTCCGCTCCAGATTCCTGGTAACATAGACACATACAGGTTAGCAGGGAATCTACGTTCTCAAAGGTTTATACCAAGTCCACAGCTGTACTGACGAGTTCTGACTCAAGGATGCAGCGTCGGCCTCAGCTCAGCTACAGTCTTAAATGCCGCTCCCTTGACGAGCGTAATCTGCTGCAGCTGGCAGAGGACGACGAGCGGCAGGTGTGGCTGTCTCTAGAGCAGAAAGACTTCCAGGTTCGCAGTCTCCTCAGCACACCAAAACCTCTGGAAGCTCACACGGAAAAACATGGAGAGAAAACCAAAACACCACATGGAAAATATAAACATAAACATACACTAAATTACATGAGCCCTGGGTCCCTAGACCCAGGCCATGACAGTGTGGGTGTAATTTTTATCAGATTTGACTGATAGCTTTCACAGCAAAGACCATCATCACAATGTGACTGGTGCCCCAAAATGACAGGAAGTCCACACCCATTAGTTTAGTTTAAACTCCACATTATGAAGCCTCAGTGTTAACACTTTGGGGTTTTTTGGAGACAGAAGTGACCATATTTGCATCCTGAAACTGTATGGATGTGACACTGACACACAGACTAAATATTTCAGTTTCATTCACCAAAACTGAAGCCCAGACTTCTTGGGCTATATTTATCACACATCAAGCCGGATCATTTCTTGCTTTTAGGCTCCACAAGGCAACAAAAGCACAAACCCGATGGAGAGGTCGAGTTCAGTGATGCAGATTAGACACATGACAGCCTATGGACCTTTGATGAACACACATATGGCTTATGAATGCTAATTAAGTTTGCTGTGGCGTGTTTCCGCCGAATGTTTGGTTACTAGCGTAACTGCAGTTCTCTGAAAACTAAGAGACTGCAGTTTGAAAGAGAACTCCCAAAACACCCAAAATTCAGCAAATACATCACGTGCCACCTTTTCATGTAAATAAGGTCACTTGGAAAAAATAATAATGCCAGTGTCAGCATTCAAAACCAATGGGTGATGTAATGGTGGCTATGCCCACTTTAAGCTCTAAAGTTGTTTTAATTAAGGAAGAAACTATCCAAAGAGGCCAAAGTGTATTTTTGTATGAGACTGTAATCATGTTTTTTTTCTGTTGGAAACATTTTTACATGGCAATCTATGGGGACTGATTCATTTGAAGACAGCCTCAAGTGGCCGCTAGAGGAACTGCAGTTGTGGCTTTATTTTTTCAGCCCGGAGTTTGTAGTTTAAAAAGCCTACTCCTGCTTCCAAAATAGCAAAGAAATTTAGAAAATCTCATAAAATTTGTGTTCATGTAGAATTTCATCCTTCACAGCAGGAAGCCACCTGAGAAATGGCTAATGATTTGGTACGTCACAGTGTTTAGATGGACTGTTCTATTATGCTCTCCAAAGTCTCAATCAATACCTTTATTGCTGAAGAGACCATAGCCGTGCCACCTGAGCCACAAACTAGGCATAAAGGTAAACCTGCAGGATCATAACCTGATTTAGCTTCAGAGCCCGGCGTCATTTGACAGAACAATCATTACCTAACGAGTTATTCCTCAACTCGCTTGTAGATGTAATATCAGCTGACTGCTTGCCCTTTGGTACCGTCCCACACTGTGATAGCCGACTGAATGATGAACGACTGTCTCATCATGAACAGTGTTGTAGCTGCAATGAGGAGCTTAACCAGCATGTGCAGCCTACAGAGGGTATTGATTTAGTGTTTTGTTACAGGCTGAGGGTAGCAGGGAAAAGCAGGGGGAAAAATGAAAGAGATGAACAAAGGATACCCACAGTCACATACAGGAGAAACGGAAAACATTTGGAGCAAAAACATCTGTAGAGGATTAAATTATCCTACTTTGGGCCACATGACCCAAGTGAAACACAATGGTGGTCAGTTATCTGACAGTCTGCCCTGTAAAGTCTAAAGTTGTGTGTTAAAGTAATGCTCTGTGGTTCACATTTTAGATTAGCGAAAGATAAGAATTGTGATTGTGGAGGTGGACAGAAATGGGACACATGGGGCGATTGATTTTTGCATTGATTGATTGATGGTCCCATTTTAATCATCGTTAAAATAATTTATAGCCAGTTGTCACCGTATAGTATATGAAACATATGAGCTGAGGGCCATAAATGTGACTGTACAGTGCAGAGACTGCTATATGTATATGCACAGTACTGTCAAACAGTTTTTTTAATATTTTGGGAAAACGTGAAATATGTGTAGCAATGACACATATATAAACATACATGGAAACACATGCCTATAGATGCCTATATTAGGCAAAAAAAGTTTTATTATTCTAGCCCTGCGAGAGACTGTGCAGGGTGTACCCTGCCTCTCGCCCTAAGTCAGCTAATTTCTTTAAGTAGTCTTCAGAAATGGTTCTCAAGGACGTCTGAAGGTCATGCTGAGCTCTTCTTTGGATGTTTGCTGTTCGCTGCTTTAATAATGTTGAGGTCTGGGCTCTGGGATTTTTCATCCAGGTTGTTGAGTTATTGAGTTATTTTTTCCCCCAAAAAAATAATAAATTGCATGATACATTTTTAAGCAAAAAAAAAATGTCTGACGTTGCAAATAATACACAAATGTAAATTCAGATGTGCAAATTATTAGTTCTTTTTTTTGTAATTTTGCAATTATTACATTGTTTAGTCTTTAAAGGGTTGACAGCATGTTTGTGATCGTTGTTTTCTGGAGAATGAAGCTGCTGCCAATCAGAAACTTTCCATGTTGTGTTGTATGATGTATCAAAATCTGATTTTATTTTTCTGCATTCAGAATTTCATCAATTTTGAGAAGATCTCCAACACCACTGGCTGGAATACAGCCCCAAACCATGATAAAGTCGCCACTGTGTTTTACAGATGGCTGTAGACACTCAGCCGTACCTCTGTTGTTGCAGCTCTCTCCTGATCTCGTCTGTATTTACTGGCTGTGATTTTAGCCAAAAATCTCCCTCAATAATTTCTGTCACCACTGATTTTCAGTCCAGATCTTATCAGGTCTTTTTTATATTTCTTAAGGATCTGACTTAGATACTGTTCGTCTGCTGTGGACAGTCTCTTGTTTTTTTCTTAGGTCACTTCTCCTCCACTTCTTTCTCTTGACAATTTTAAATTTGTTCTATGCTAAGTTGTCTGTTATGTGCAGACACAACAGTGGTGCTTTTTATCCTTAAATAATTTATATCAAATTTAAGTGGCTTAACAAACATAAAGACATTCCTGTGAAAAAGGTCAGGTACATAGACTGGAAATGAGTGAAAAAGAAAAACAAAACAGCAAACAAAATATAAAGAAACAATAAAGAAACAGGGGGTAGCTGAAGACTTTTGCACAGTACTGTGTGTGCATGTATTTAGACCCCTCCCACAGAGGTCGGTTACCTTGTTAAAATGCTGCAGTCCCATTGCATAACACTGAATCCTGAAACTACAAATCACTGCAGTTTGACTCATTTCACTTCCTGAACGTCGGTCTTTCTTTCAAGTCTGTCAAAAGTGCTGAAAAAAGTTAAGGGTGAATTAAAAGGTAGAAAAATAGCCTATCACTCTGAAAATATTCACAGTATGAAGGTAAATAAAAATAAAGTCAGCTGATTCTGCAGCAGTCAGGTGGAGCGACCCACGAGGCAGCGTCTCAGTAAACAGCGTGAGCGTAAAAGAATTAAATCAGCTCAGCTGAACGACCAGTCGGCTGACAGATAATCATTCTTTGTTTTCTTTAATTCCTCGAGCTTATTGTTGTCGGTGTTGTTGTTGACAGGTGCGCTCAGCCGTGAGGAAGCGCTTCCACCGATGGCAGGAGCAGCACTCGATCCGAGCCAGGATGACCCAGGCCATGTCCATCCCCACTTCACCTTCACGGGTCAGCTTTCACAGCATCAAGCAGTCCACGTCGCTATGAAAGAGGAAACCAGCTTTGTCCTACATGCTCGCGCTTTGGGAGAAACCTCCAGCTGTCATTGTCATCCTTTTCTGCCACATCACTGGAGTAACACTAAAACACTTTCTGCGGCTAGAGATCTAGAGAGAGGCTGCATCAGTCTCCTAAACCTCAGGAGGGACATTACACAGACTTTCAGGAGAAAATGGATGGGTACAGGCGGGAGAGGACATTGCAATGTTTGTGAAAATGGGAGGTTAGTGGATCAAAAAGATGCACGTGACCAAGCTGATGAGTGTGTACTGGAGTTTGAATGTACAGCACTTGTTTAATTGTCTGTCGTTTCCCCGCTGGCACTTTGTTTTTGCTAACATCGCCATCACGATTGAGGATTTATGCTCCTGGACTGCACCGAGCTGGATTCCATCTCAGAGGAGTCATGTGCTAGCAGGGACCAGTGACTAAGTCGTTACTTATCCTGAGATTTTATTTTAAGTTTTTATTTTTCTCTCAAGCAGCTGTCTGCTTCTGGTGTTTGTTTATTTGATGTTGTGCTTTCTTCCTCTGTTCTCAGCTCGGTGCGCTCGTGCTGCTTTCATCGACTTTCCAGGAAGGTTAAATACATTCCATAATTCCTACCTGAAGAGTTTTGTTCCAGAAAAAACAGACACATTTACAGCTTTGAGTAACCTCCAAGTGACCCTCTGGGGACATTTATGACCCTACGTGTATATTTCTGTGACAACTTTAATTGTTTTCTGTAAGAAGTGGCTCATTGGGATGGCAGTGTTTGTCTTCTATTTACATTTTCCACCTTTTATCGCTGCATTGTGACAGTAACAGACTAAGAACAGCGTGATTTAGTGCTGCAGAAGCCCAATAATGCAATGAAAACAGCTCAGCTGATGGAAAAAATTCAGGTTAACTCCCATAATTTCTTACCTCTTAACACTTTAGAATATTGGTCATAGAGAAAGGAAACATAGTATGATGTTATAAAGATATAATCTAGCCTTTAAAACAATTTATTCCAGTATAGAATCTAATGGGGTCATAAATGACCCTACTCAGTCACTTTAGTGGCTATAGTAGCTCAGCTACCTGAGGTTTAAGGTTACTGTCAGTTAGTCTCACATCATTCGTCTCCTTTCTGAGCTCAGGTGACTTCTTAGTCGAGCACAAAGAGTGAAAGTGGAGGAAATAGCCTTTTACTGCAGAATAATTACATGGCTTAACTCTCGCTTAAAGCACAAGCTATGATGTGTATGTTTCTATTGATGTACAGATTAAACAGGCGGGTCGATACACGATAATTAGGGCGGTGTAGGGTGGCTGTGGTTGAGATGATGGAGGTATGTCCACTAATTGAATTTAAAAACCTCCTCCTCACATACAAAGTCCTGGATGATCAGGCCCCATCATATCTTAAAGTCCTCTGAGCACCGCATTATCCCAATAGAGCACTTCACACTCAGTGAAAAGAACCTTGAGACGACTGTTTCTGTGAATTGGCGCTATATATGTAGGATTTAATCTAACTGAATTAATTGCAGGGTTAGCTGTCCAGTCTTCAGCTCCCCCTATAATAAAACCCTGGACTGAAATGGCATGTGATAAAAATCTGCTGGATAAGCGAATTCCATTCAGCTTCATAAGTGCATATTTCTATATATAGCTAGCCTTTGCCCCTTTGACTACAGCTGCTGGGCCAAGTAAGGCTAATCACTTCCTGGCTTTAGCTCACATTGGGGCAAAATATGGTCAGAACGTCCCTACAGACCATTTCAATCTGACCCCAAACAGAGGAAAATTGAATAAGAATCATCACTCAAACATCTCAAGGTGATTGTCTGCTATGACTGTGTGTGGTTATCAAATGCTGACACAACATTTAGTTGGAATTTTCTTTTATTGTAACCTGTAACAATGGTTTCTATTCAGCTACAGAGACGTGTAGCCTTTCTTCTAATTTATCTTACTGATCATTTATGGTGCGCCTGCAGATCTGCCTCAGTAATAATTGGTAGAAGGTTTTTTGTGCCGATTTGACCTACTTTGGCCTGAGAGGTTGGCTGCATTCAGACCATCTCTGAATCACGTGTGATGACCTGAATTTGGCTAAGATGTAGATCTGGTTCAGCTTCAGACTCATTGGGACTCTTGGGTGTCTCTTTGGCTGTGATTTTACTCCTGGCACACTGGTTCTGGACCATTTTGAAGCCAGACCAGTTTGGATACATGTGTACTCGGAAAGTGCACACATGGCATATTTTGTTTTCTATACACACACACGCACACAGTAACCATGCATGTATCTCACATATTCTCATCATCTTATCCAAACTAAATTTACCTAGAAAGAATAAACCTTTGTGGGCAGAAAAACAATATTAACATTAGAAAGTTAATGTGGCAACATACATTCAATTCTAGATATAAGAAAGACTTTTTTTTAAAAATTAACCCACTTTCAAAAGATCAAATGTTTAATTATTTAATTTAGAAATAATTAGTATAATACCTGTGAAACTATTTATATTTTCTCTCTGGCACTTACCTCTAGAAAAACATAAGTCTAAGCATAAGAGAAGCAGCTACTAAATGCTTCACTGTGTTCACCAACTCTGTTTGTTTACATCTGAAAGAAACAAAAGAAACAGAAAAACCAAAAGAATCAGAATATTTAAAACCCAAAACTATGACCTGAAAGTTGCTCAAAAAGAGATTTTTAGAGATGTAACCACAGGACCAGTGTGAGTGACAGCATGTTTCACATTACTTGGACACACAATACATTTAATTTTGTGGCACTTTAAATCAAATTAAGCGTCGTGTTAGTTCAGGTCACGAAGTGATTAAAGTCTCTGCGGCATCCCGCATGGTTTTCTTTTACACATCCTGTTGGTTAAACTTCTCAGAGCCCACAGTTTCACTCTTTCAGCCTGCATGTAGTTGCTGTGAATCTGCAAGCCACTTTGCAACCAGTCATGTCATGGAAAGATTCTGCATTAGTGGTCCTTTTAGTGCAGAGACTTTCACAAAGTATAAAAACTGTGCAGTGAGAATGAGTGGACCACATGTTCAGCAGTTCCTTTATTGCTTGTAAGTTAGTTAGTTGTTATATTTTTTACTTGTCAGGGACCAGGCACAAAAGGATTGAACTCATATGAGAAAAGATGCCTTATACTGGATTTAGCTACAAGCACTTTAAATACACACAATATTAAACAAGCCTATACTACAAATGCAGATAAGAACTACAAGATAATCAAATGTACAAGCTTCTTCTTCTTTAGTGGGTCATCTGCTTCCATTTCACTCTTTCTGTAGCATCCACCTCTGTCACATGACCCCCCTCACAACATCTTCACTGCAGTCTGTGCTGTGCGTCCTGCCTGGCAGCTGCCCTGTCCGGACTGTCTCGGCATTGCCTCACTAAGTTCCCATCCAAACACCTCAATCTGATGTACTTATTTCTAATCCTTTTCATGCTGGATTCTTCTAATGATAAGTACAGTTTCCACCGGCACCCTGTTAGCCAACAGCATCAGGGTTGGTCATTTATCCACCCCGGACCCTGACTCATTATGAGTCACGTGTTTGATTTGACTGCCCTTTCTGACGCAACCCATCACATTTATCTGGGCTTGGGACAGGAAGTACGCAGTGTTGTGCTCGGCAGTGGCAGCAACAGGTATAAATGACCACAGATATGATTTCAACTGAGTCGAAAATAACAAGAAAGCTGGGAGAGAAGGTGGGTTGTAAAGCAGCTTTTACATGTCCAAAGTGCTATGCTCAAAGTGTCACCCATTTGAAAGCAAACCAAGTTAAAATTATCAGTCAGAATTTAGTTTTTAAAAAAAAGGAATAATCTTTATAGAAAGCAAATGAAATGATCAAGTTTTACAAGTTTTAGTCAGACCACCGCCGCCTCCGATGGTCTTTGTGGAACAAAACTCTTCAGCTGATCAAAGAGACTTAATAGATCGACTCGACCAGCAAGCAAAGGGTTCCTCCATTCAGGGTGGTGTTTATACTCATTCACACCTTTCTGTGGCGTTCGATTGACTTGAACACTTGCAGTAACTGTATTTACTGATGACCTGTAAATATATAAATATCAGAGGTGAGTGTGATGGGAGGGGGCTTTAAAATCCACGAATAGAAACCAAAAACACAAACCACACACTGTAAATCATATGGGCACATTTTCCATGTGATCAGCAATTCACAGTCCACATTCCTATGATACCAGTATGCCTAGCACCTGTGCATTTTTATGAGAAAATTGTATATGAACCTTTTCTTTTTGTCACCCTATTATTATAATTTTTTTACCCCTTGTAAGTGATGTGTGAGCTCTGGTTGTGATAAAAAAAAAGTCAAATTATTTTAAGTAATTGAGTTTTACATGATGCTGATCATCACTTGTAACAGAGCAGCTGCTTTCAGCTTGATTCCAGCCTTTTGTGGTGGAGAAAATTCAAATTAAACGAAAGAAACGTGTAGTCGTCATGCAATTGTGCTAGGAATTTTCAAAATAAACGTTTTACATCAGCAAGAATAAGAAATATAGAAACCATGCAAAGAGAATCTTCATCGTTTTGTGGTACGTATACGGTGGTCAATGAAAAATCACAATGTCATTCAAATTATTATTTATTGTTATTTATTTTCAATATTGTTATTTTCATACTTGAAAAAAAAAGTCAAGCGATAATAAACTGTGTGTTGCATTTGACTGAATGAAAAATTGAAGAGATTTATTTATAGACCAGTTTTTCTGAAAACAAGCCTGTAAAAAAAAAAAGACACCATTACCCGCGATGGAGACTCCGGATCACACAGCCATTTGTCTCCACAGTCCCCCGAGACGAAAGCAAAGAAAGAAAACACATCCTGAGTATCGTGTGATCCTCTTAAGCTTTGTGTGTGTGTCTCGAAGGGGAGCACAGCCCAAATCTGGCTTTTAAATAAGATCCTTCTGCCCAAGTGAACATTCACCATTTTCTGGGTATGAGAAGGGAGGGGTCTTTGTGTGTGCACTAAAACACAAAGAAAGGACCACAGAAGTCGACTTTAACAGTATTCACCATGATGTACTATTGCTTAATTGAATGCAAACACTTAAAGAGAACAGAAAGGTTAGTCGTTGCCTGCGGAGCGGCTTTTGGGGGGACGATTACTCTGTCATCTCATGGATTCACTCTTCCACTCAGGGCTTCTAGCTTTGGGAGAGTTACTCATATTCGCAGTTCCAGATAAAACTACTGTCAGCATGATTCAATTTCCTATTCTCATTGCTTCTTGTCATGATTACATAATGACTGTTTGTTTATGTGGAGAAGCATCAAAGTGCTGTAGTAAACAAGTTTGGGCCTTTTTCTTACATGTGCACAAATTTACAGTTTATGGCATAAACACTGGAAAACAAATGAAATTCTGTGAAATATGAGACATGAGTACATTATAGACTGTATACAAAAGATGGACGTGGCCACTGTGACGTCATACATTGGTTTCTGAAATCCTGTTTTCAAACCTTGACTTTAGGATTTTGCTTAATAGCAGGTTGTTACTTCTGGAGGGTGGAGTACTAAATTATTAACTAATGCTAGTAAGGTTAGCAATATAGGCTAAAGAAAGAACATCACACACACAGCGGTGCTTGCTAGCTAGTACCATTACAATAAAAAAAATATTATTTAACTCACTTATATTGGAGTAATAGACCTTTTGGACAGTTGGTAGAATTAAGGACACCACACAGTCAGTTTATTATTCACACTATTTTTGTCTGCATGTTTTAGTATTCTTATTTCCTCTCATGTTGGTTTTTTGAAGCAAACAATACAAGTGGAAGTCTTTGAGAAAACAGCTTTCTGACTTCAAGTCTGTTAAGTCCATTTTGCAAATGGTATCCTGCACAATGGTATCCTTGGTGCACAATGGTGTGCAGGATACTTGGTGCCTGAGAGTTTATTTGTGCTGTAAAGTTTGACATTCTAACATGGTAGTCTATGGGGATTGGCAGGCTTATGGAGACAGCCTCAAGTGGTTATTGGAGTTTTTCTTTAGGTATTTCTATAGAGATTGACAGACCACGTGACTTTCGCGCATTGCATGCCGGGAACTCGTGGCAAAACAATCCAAGTACCGCATCAAACGCAAGCATTTGCAGCACCACAAAACATTCATTCTCCAGTTCCAATACCTTCTTGGTTTTTCTTTGCCCCCCAAAAAAGTTATGTACAAAACGAAGGAGAACAATGCTGGTCCGTACAAAGACAGACTCGACGAAAAGTCAAAGAAAAGATACGAGGAAAAAATCAAAGGAGTGAAAGGGTCAGACCCTTACGAGCACACAGAGGGACAAAAGACGTTAGCGTGCTGCCCACTTTCACCACGCTCATATTTATAATTATACGGTTCTTGGAGTGAGTGCACACACTCATGAAGTTTAGTAACTTCAGGTCACTGCAACAAGCCCAGGTACAGTTTACCGACGGATGGGTGCAGGACCTTGAAATGCACCGTGTAGAGCGAAAGACCATCGTACGTATCATAAGTTTACCAGTCTCACAAATCGTCTTCATAAATACACATTCGTTAACAGTTTATTAATAGGACCTTTGAGCTCAACGGTAATTAATTAGTAGTGGAAATAATTTCTGGTAGCATCACAGAAATGTAGCAGTGACAATAATACTGTATGCTGTAATCGTACTGGGCAATTAGTGATACAAAACAACTGTTTTATCCTGTGAATAAAAGTTTATGTTTTTGTCAATGTACCATAATAACAGAAGCGAAACGCAATATTGTGTCAGGGCAATTCACTATTTATGCACAATAAACAAAAGAGCGACAATTTCTGTTCAGCGCCAGACTTGCTTGTAACCTATATCACCAATTATGTTAAGAAAAATGACGTATTAACTACTACAAAACTCTGACCTGTGTGGAAATGCTTGGAGCAGACTAACCTGTGAGCTGGAGTGTTCTGGGACGTTATATTTGGTCTTTGAATGGCTGCAATCCAGGCCACCCGTCGGCTCTTTGTTACTTCGGAAACATGGCTCGAACAATTTCTCCTCAACGACGTAATCCGATAACAACCGATCTCTTTACCCGTCGGCTTCCCGTGGCTGTCATGCGACCGGCTATTGCAGTTAATAATACAACAGCTTCTTGACATTTTTGTGTTTCTTTTTATCGCTGTGTGACTGATTTCAATTGAAAGCCTGCGTGCGCTAGTACCTCTTGCCACGAGTTCCCAGAATCCTTTGCGGTTTTAGCCCTGAATGAGGTCACATTTTCAATCTCTATACAACAGTGTGCATATTTGTACTAAAATTACATAACTTTTTTTTTTAATTAAAAATACAGCGTAAAGCTTTCATAGTAGGAAGACTCCAAACAGACACAGGAAAAAGTCCAAAAAGCCAAATCCTCATTCCAAAAAATGGTGGTCATGCACTGTGGTCAGGTAGGCAGCATGCACGGCAAACCAGCTGAGGAGCATAAAAAGGCAAACATCCATTAAGCCGGTTCAAAAGGACGTAAAAGCTGCTGCAAATTTTGACTGCAAAGAAAACAAGATGAGTTTGGGCAAACCCGTGTGTGGCTTTTCCTGTTTTTAAATAAAATTAAAACATCATACCTGGAAGAACTCTTTGGATCTGGAAGCATAAAAGTGTTCAGCAAACCAATGTTTACCCTGTTTTACTTGATGAGGTTTTGTGAGCCTTTGACTTAAGGCTCACAAGATCATCCATCACCTGGAATATTTCCATCTAATAAGTGAGCCTTGTCAAAAATTAGCTGGCAGGATTTCTTGACTTCTTAATTAGACCATTAGTCAGCAAAGAGCCCTGTTCTACTTCTAAAGTAATCAATGTTATGGCAAGAGCCACTCAGCAAAATAAAGACACGCACCAGTGCATCTTTACTGAAAGACTTCAGGGTAGGTCCATCCAGAAAATTGAATGCGATAATTTCTTCAAGTACAAAACGGCATCAAACTCTGTGATTCTCACGAGGACCGCTTCAGGAAAAGAGGACCAACAGTTCAGCACAGTTACAGAAATCAGCAGTTAATAACACTTCAAATGAGAGCCCTCGTCAAATGCTCCCCAGAGCTCAACATCAGAAAACTGTGTGAATCAGGCCTTCACGGAGGAGAGGAGCGAACTGCTGGGACCAGAACGCACATAGACAGAACATCAGAGCAGAGACTTTCGGTTTCAGCTTTGTCTTTCTGAGAGGCAGAAAGAGGTAAACCGATAATTACAAAGGAGTATTAGGGCCACGTTAAGAAAATAAATATATTATTGATCACATTGAGAATAAAGTTGAAATGTGGAGATTAAAGTTGTTGTATCAAATTGTCTTGGGTAGATGAGGTGGTGAAATCGTACTTCAGGATCAGTAACAAGAAAGGAAATTGTTTTTCCTTAAGCACATGAACACAGTGGTAAGTATGAGGACACTGAAAGAAAAACCCTCGGAAACTTGAAACAGCTGCCTGGATTGATACAAAATGAAATGGCTGCCAGTGAACAGATGCAAGGATAGAGACGGTTACACTCTTGTGCAATAAAGAGGGTGTATGTTGTATCACAAGACACGATAAGGCAGCTGATCAGTTTGCTTCACTAACTCATCTACACGGGACGTTTTGTAGAGGCAGCCACGGCAGTTGTTACACTTGAAACTTGAAGCCTCCTTAAATGTATTGTTCCACAATTTACCCCAAAATTCTTTTATTCTTGTTATTTTTTTCATTTCTCCTGAAACAAAACTATGATTTATACCTTTGCTTATTATAATCTCACATATTCAATTCCTACACTTTCAAATAAGCACAAGTGGGAATCTGTCTCAACCTTTCACAACAAAAGAACTGGAGGACAATCGATAGCTCTGCATGTCTGCCACTTTCTGTATTTAAAACCATGCCAATCACATTGTGGGTCAATAGGTAATTCTGTGCAGCCAGAAATCAATCAGACTTTGAGAAGTTTAATACCAATTGAAATGGAGTCTCGAAAGTCTCCATAGATGTTGGGATTTGTGTGAAATCATATCACATATGGCTCCAGTGAAAGGCTGGATAAATGATGTCAGACACTGTTTGCCGATATTGGAATGTGAAGAGTTTAGTCATCTTGCATCTTAAAGGAAAACAAAAGTGTACATTACCCAGATGACCCTGGGAGCTTTGTCCCATTAGAGCCAGCTGTCATGACAACTGGCTCTCGGGGGTGCATTTATATGCATGAGAGGTAAGTTCATAACACAGTTAGGAAAAGCACCCGCAGTCCAGATGTAAACAATATAACTTTGTTAAGCTCATTTTCCAGTGAATGACTTCAGCTTAGACCAATATTAAAATGCTTCCTGTTGTGTTTAATCACCTTACTCCTGATGCTTTTGGACTTCGCCTGTTAATAAGTCAAAAATATGGACCACACTTACACCGATGTATAAGTTCATTTCTTTAACCCTCATGTGACCAAGTTGTTTTAGTGACTGAAATTACTGAAGGAGGTCATGTATGAGCTCATTATAATTTAATTAAGAATGGCTTTTGATTGGTTCTGTGTGTGCATTTAAAAACAACTCCAGTGT